GTGGTCTGTTCCACAATCAGCTCCTGGCTTAGTTTTCACAGCTGATATTGAGCTTCTCTAGCGGTTCTTTCCAGAAATGTAATCAATCTGATTCCTATGCATACCATCTGGTTAAATCCAAGTATATAACCTGCATTTATGTCTCTTAAAAAATGTATTTGCTATGAATAAGGCAAAAAAATTTTTAAAAAAACCCAACTCACAAACTTCTTTTTGTCATATATTTACAATATGGAAGAGTAGAATTTTATAAAAAATAAAGAAACTACAAATACTGAGAGTTAAAATCTTAACACACAAACCGTTGTCCCCTCTTCCTGGTGACTACAAGTGTCCTTCCTCCAATCATTCAGCCCACAGTGACCTCAGATATAGTGCCACTATTTTTAAAATGGCAAAGTTGGTAGATATAAATAGACACAGGGTAAACATACATGTATTCTTGGAATTTCCTATAGTAAAGATTGGCAGTTTGCCCTTCCAGTTTAAAGATTTTCTTTAAATTGTTTCTAAGAACAATTGTGTACTTAATTTTATGTGCATAATGAAAATTGTTATAGAAAATATGATCTAGTGGGTGTTAAAATATAATGAATTTTAACTTATGCTTATTCTCATCAATGTGTCTTATATAGGGGTTTCCAAAGCAATTTTGGAAAGAGCAGGACCAGCTGTGGAAAAGGAATGTGCTAAACTAGGTATGATCCCCTCCTACTTTTGACCCTAATGTACTGTACTTGTGGAGACATGGGAACAGGGGTGGCACCATGGTGAGCAACCCATGCAGGAAGTGATGAGTCCTTTGAAAGATAGGTTCATTGAGTTGTCATTAACTATTCTCAAGTTACCCTGAACTTGTGGTGAGCACTACAGAGCAAAGTGCTTCCTGGGGTTGGCTGGAGAAGGGACTGATGTGATTGTAGATGGCTTCCATTGGATCAAGTTTAAAAATAGCTTTCGAGGCCTTTCTTCTCAGTCAGGCCCTTTTTTTTTTCTTTTCTTTTCTTTTTTTTTCTAATAAGTCTTAGTCTGGAAGCTCCAATGAAATTTACTGAACCTTATGGTGACATACAAGCTTCCACTGACAGATGGATGATGGGTGGGCATGAAGCATGCTGGCTAAGCCCTGAACCCTGTGTGCTGCATGGAATTCCAGAACTCTGTCACTTGAGTCACCACTGCCTTCCTGGGTTCACTGGTGTGCAGACACATGGTGGTGTGACTTGTTGTGGAGGAGAAGTTCTTCATCCCATCACCGATTGCCTTCTCCTCTCTAAGTAATAAAAAGAAGCTAGGCCTTGATCTGATTCCAGGGTCCACTACTCCGAATTTCTGAATAAACCTGATGTGTCATTCAGCTTTTATGAACTTGCCTTCTCTTATCTGTAAGGTAATTCTGGTAATAAAAAGTACCTGGTAATTAATGGCTGGCCCTCAGCAGAATGAGAAGGACAATGACTTGATGATTTGTAGTGTTAGACAAATGACCTTCTCTTTAATCCAGCCTTGTTTTACTTCTTATAGCGCGTCTCCAAGTAACTGATTTCCAATTCTTTTACAAATGAGTGTGGAGCCTGGTTGGAGGATCAGTAGGGGTGATCATAAGGACTTGTTTTTTAGAACCAGGATCCATGCTTTGCAGATCAGGACAGGCAATCAGCTATAACTCTGCGTTGAAGGAGTCACTCACTGTAGCCCACATTTTACAATACATTACCACAACCTACTCGCGACAGGTCTGAACTCCCACCTTAATAGCCCTTCTCTGGAACAAACAAATTGCTGCGGGGAGAAAAGAGGCAGGTTATCCTTGATCACCAAAATGAGGACATGAACAAGGATTATTCCTTTGGAAGGAAGCCTTGGTATAATGGTCAAGCTCTCTCTCAATTGCTAAATGAAAGGCTTGAACACTCCCTCAACCCCCCAGGCAGTCCTCCCTGGGAGTTATTTCTCTGCAATCAAAGTGTTGCTTCTACTAACAAATGTCCTGGTTGTTTTTCTCCCCTTTCTTTTATATATGTATTTTTTTCCTTTATTACGTATGTGTATATATATAT